CCTTCCTTCCTTCCTTCCTTCCTTCCTTCCTTCCTTCCTTCCTTCCTTCCTTTCCTTCCATCCTTCCTTCCATCCTTCCTTCCTCCTTCCCTTCCACACATTTTTCTCAGCAAGATTGTGGAAGTGGCTCGCCATTGCCTTCTTCCTTGGGTGGAGATAAAATGGCTGGGTCAAGGTCTTCTAACCGGCTTTGATGCCTAAGGCCAGACTAGAACTAAAAGTCTCCCAGTTTATTGATTGAGATTGCTGTTGTTATATGTTGGATTTTAATACTGAAAGTTACTTTGAGAACCAACCCCGGCCAACAAGCAAGTATAAATCAAATAATGTAGATATGATATCTGGTTTTATTGTCCTTGAGCTTTTGATCCCCAAGTGTATCTAATTAAAAGTTGGAAGAGACAGACTAGCATTGAAAGACCCACACAACAAATGCTACCTGTGAGCTGATCCACCTTCTTCCACCCGGGCAATGATGATGGCATGAGGGGAGCGCTTAGATCCACGGCCTCCAGTGATCTGGATTCCCAGCCCGTCGGTTCCCTTCATCATGGTCATCTTCCATATCCGACAGCCTTCTCTCTGGGAGGAGAAATTGAAGAGAGTCCCTATAGTGTTTGTTATTGGGAGTAAGTTGGTGGGAAATCCTTCTAACTGCATTTATTTATGAGCCACGGTGGTGCAGAGGGTAGAGTTTATTATTTATTTTATTTATTTATCTATTTATTTATTTATTTATTTATTTATTTATTTATTTGATTTGTCAATTGTTTACAAGATAGTAAGTATAAGTGTATACATAGTTCTGAATACATGAAATGGGTACATATAAGAAAAAGAAAAGAAAAATAAAAGAAACAATAGGACATGGACGGTAGGCACGTTGGTACACTTATGCACGCCCCCTACAGACCTCTTAGGAAAGGGGTGAGGTCAATAGTAGACAGTCTAAGGTTAAAGTTTTCGGGGTTTGGGGAAGAAACCACAGAGTCGGGTAGAGTATTCCAGACATTGACCACTCTGTTGCTGAAGTCGTGTTTCCTGCAATCAAGTTTGGTAGGTTAACCTTGAGTTTGCATCTATTGTGTGCTCTTGTGTTGTTATGGTTGAAGCTGAAGTATTCATTGACTGGTAGGACATTGCAATGTATGATTTTATATACCATACTTAAATCAGACCGAAGACGGCGTAATTCAAGGTTTTCTAGTTCTAGAATTTCAAGTCTGGTGGCATAAGGTATTCTACAACGAGTAGAGGAGTGGAGAACTCTTCTTGTGAAATATTTCTGGACTTTCTCAATTGTGCTAATATCAGATACGTAATGTGGGTTCCAGACTGATGAGCTGTATTCGAGTATTGGTCTAGCAAATGTTTTGTATGCAAAAACAAAAAAAAAGAGTGCAGTACTTCAGGCTACTTCTGCTGACTGCCTGCAATTTGGCAGTTGGAATCTCACCAGGCTCAAGGTTGACTCAGCCTTCCATCCCATGAGGTGGGTAAAATGAGGACCAGATTGTTGGGGGCAATAGGCTGACTCTGTAAACCGCTTAGAGAGTGCTGTAAAGCACTGTGAAGCGGTATATAAGTCTAAGTGCTATTGCTACCTATGGGGGTTCTGAGTCATCCAAGCCATGATTGACCCAATGGTGCTTTTTCAAGAGGCAACTGGACTTTCTTTGGGTTTTTTCCTTGAAGGTGTTTCACGTCTCATCTAAGAAACTTCTTCAGTTCTGACTGGAATTTTTTCAGTCAGAACTGAAGAAGCTTCTTGGGTGAGAAATGAAATGTCTTCAAGGGAAAAAAAAACAAAGGAAGTCCAGTTACCTCTTGAAAAAACACCTTTGGGCCTAACTGCATCTATTTTATCCTGGTGGAGAGCTAGCTTTTGCAACAAGAAAGGTCATGAAGTTGTCAGCCAAGAAAATCCATGTGTTGGCACAACGAGGAAGCGCCATTAAAGCCAATAAATCTGATGACATCTACTCAATGTCTGCCACCTAAAAAAATTATGAAACGGCAGCAACTTGTTTTCTCTGAGGGTCTTAGCTAAGATTTTAGGTCAAAAGTTGTGTATCTTTGGTTTATAGCAACCCTGGGGATTCCAAAGTAAGCATTAAAAGTATCTGGTGTGGGAGCTTTCCAATTCAAAGTGATTGATACTAGCTGGGCCTGGAGCCATAAAGAGACCTACCACAGTCAGGCATAATACAGAAAAGCTCATTCCTTGAACGGTACGTTTTTTCTATTGTAAACAACACTCTTTACTCACAAATATACAGGTAGTCCTTGACTTACAACCACACCTGGGACTGGCACTTCTGTCAGTGAGTGATGGTGTCATTAAGTGTGTCGTCTCTGATTTTACAACCTTTTTGCTGTGGTCATTAAGTGAGCCACAGCATTATTAAGCAAATCTGACTTTCCCCATTGACTTTCCTTGTCCAAAGGAAGGTCGCAAATGGTGATCACATGACTCTGGGACATGCAACCATTTCAATACTTGCCAGTTGCCAAACTCCCAAATTTTGATTATTTTGATTATTTTTAATTTGATTTGTCAATTGCTTACAAGATAATAGGTATAAGAATAAACATACCGTGTTTCTCATATAATAAGGCCGGGTCTTATGTTTTTTTGAGCCCCGAAAAAATGGCTAGGCCATCTTTTCGGGGGGTGACTTAATTCCCCCCCCCTTGCATCTTCGGGCAGGCGGGCGGCGATGGCTTGGATGTTGACCTCGGCATTGGTGGGGCACTTCGTATCGGGGTCAACGCAGGCAGCACCATATCCAGGTGTGCAACAAAAGTACTTCCTAACGGCAAGCCCCCCCCCCATTCCGCATGTTTTAATATAGGCCTTAATTTGGGGGGAGGGGCTTAATTTCATTTCATGCCTATAAAACATGCTGGGACTTCCTATTGGGGGAGGCCGTATTGTTGGAGAAACAGGGTAGTTATGCATACATGAAATGGGTACATATAAGAAAAATAAAAGAAACAATAGGACAGGGACGGTAGGCACGTTGGTGCGCTTATGCACGCCCCCTTATGTGACCACGGGGACACTGTAATTGAAATAGGGCAACCCTCCCTGGCCGACTCGTCGCAGCCAACTTGCAGCAGGACGACTCGCCACGCGACAACTCACCGCGGGACAATTCAACACAGAATAACTCGAGAGAGGGGCAAATAGAATTGCAGCTCACCCCAGCTTTGAGGACTTCTAAGTTGAGATGGTTCATACCTAAAGAAAGACAAAGCCCACTGCAATCCATTTCTCTCCCTCCCTCCCTCCCTCTCCCTCTCTCTTGAGAGCTATTCTGTATTGAATTGTCCCACGGTAAGTTAGCTGGGACGAGTCGGACGGGACAAAGTATCCTATACCCAGGGGTGGGCTTCAAAAATGTCAGGAACTGGTTCTCTGCCTGGTTGCTGGGTGGGCGTGGCCATGGTGGGCATGGCCAAACCAGCCTCCTGCATCATGGCGGGGGTGGCATTTTTGTCAGAGTATATTCATGAACTGGAATAGAGCATGATAACAAGGTCAGCCAATGAATAGGCGCAGCAACTAAGTCAGCCAATGAGAACTATTTGGAAACTGAAACTAGAAGTAGCCTAGGCGGGGCTCTATATTAAGCTCTGCGGCTCTGCTGAGCTCTGAGTCAGTCTGTTGAAAATGAAACTGCTTCTCTCCTCTTGCTTGCCTGCTGAACTGAAGTGAAAGAGAAACTAACTTGCTTGCTTGCTGAAGACTAAGAGCTCTGCTCTGAACCTGTAACTTATCTGCTTCTGTTTGAGTTTGCTCCATGATGAAGAATCTACAACTGGTATTGTAAAAAAAATTACTTGTGTTTATAAAGAAGTTAAATGAAGCATCAGCCATCTGTGTTTATTTTTCTGGCGCTGAATTAACGCTGCAAAACGCTGAATAATTTTCACCCTCCCTGGGCGTTGGAGGCTTTCCTCCAGCCTCTGGGAGGGCGAAAACGGTCTCCCCAACCTCCAGAGGCCAGAAATGGGCCCGTTTCCATCCTTCCGGAACTTCCGGGAGGCCTGTTTTTCACCCTCACCAAGCTCCGGAAGCTTTTCTCGAGCCTCCAAGAGGATGAAAATGGCCTCCCCCAGACTTTGGAGACCCTCTAGAGCAGAGGTCTCCAACCTTGGCAACTTTAAGACTTGTGGACTTCAGCTCCCAGAATTCTCCAGCCAGCATAGCTGGCTGGAGAATTCTGGGAGTTGAAGTCCACAAGTCTTAAAGTTGCCTAGGTTGGAGACCTCTGCTCTAGAGCCTTCAGTAGGCCCATTTTTTGCCCTCCCCGAGCCTTGTACTTACCTGGGACCCAAAATGGGCCACGTGGGGACTCCTGGGAGGGGCGGGGTGGGCAGGACCAGCCAGGGGGTGGGATTTACTGGTTCGCCGAACTGCGCACAATCTCAGCTTGAGGATCGCCCGAACCCATGCCAACCCACAGCCGCCCACCCCTGCCTACACACCACTGCAATGGTTGTAAGTGCGAAGAGCAGCTGTAAGTCACTTTTTTCAGCATTGTCATTGCTTTGAATAGTTATTAAGCAAACCGCTGTACGCCATGGAATACCTGTATAAACAACGGCATGAAAGACGGATTTTTTTTCCTAATGGCTCACTAAGGAAGAAAACAATCCACAAAGATGCGGTTATGCATACACCCCCCCCCCCCAAAAAAAAAACCTGTCTCCACCAACACACACCTGAGAGATTTACTACAAAATACGCGCACGAACTTTCCAAACTGAATCCAGGAGGAAACCTGTAATACATCCCGAATGTTCTGAAGTGATCCATTTTAGCCCTTAGAAATCTGCACAAATTCCTGGCTCTAAGCCCAGCAGGCTATGGTGAAAGGCAGCACACCTTGCTTCCGGATACCGTTTTTCTTGGCATTTCCTTTGTGTTGAAAAAAGAGACTTCAGTATGCTTGGAATGCTTGAAAGAGGGTGGGTTATTGGTGGGAAGAGTACAAGGGGGGATGTTTTCCCTACATCTGGCAGGGTTTTTTCTTCTTCTCAGTAACAGCACAACAGTTGCTTCATAACTTCCTTGTTAGCAATATTTTGCAGGCAACAGGCCCCAAGGACTTAGTCTAATATTGTTTTAGGAGGAAGAGCAATATGTTTGCGGTAATAGAACAGATCAGCTTACAGATGATAAAGATTTCAGGGCTAGAAAGCTTTTTCTCCTCCTTTTAAAGGTTTTCCACTACTGAGGGCAACTTACTCAAAATGCTGATGCTTATTATATCGCATTCCAGCTCCTTTTCTCCGCTCCCACTGATATTCATACACTCTACAGAATCAGACTTAAGAGAATTACAGTACTATTAATGAGAAGAGTCATTAGTCACATGCCACACTGTTTCTATATTACATCTGGGATTCAAAAATTTCTACTACTATAGTTTTGTGGGCATGGCTTGGTGGGCGTGGTGTGGCTTGGTGGGCGTGGCAGGGGAAGGATACTGCAAAATCCCATTCCCACCCCACCCTACTAACCTGCTTTCCAGCTCCGTTCTCCTGTGCAGGGCAACCAAAGAAGACCCAGC